TCATGAGCTATCGCGAGTTCCGTCAAAGGCTGGCTTTGCAAATGATTAAGTATGATCCTGTCGAGCAGGCATATAACTGCGATGCTAGATTGAGGCAGTGTACAAAAGCAATGCACACGGTTAGAATTGGTATGGCAACCAGAAGAAAAGCCTGCAAGACTTTTCTTAAGAATGGAAAGCTGCTTGCATACCACAATTTGCAAACGATTGCAGAGTACAAGGCGCTGGGAAGATTTTGTTTCACTCAGACTGAGTATAAAAAACATTTGGAGGCAATTGTGCCCACCAAGACAAGGAGCAGGAACATTTGTTACATGTGTGGTAGCAATACCTACAGCTTATGTAGACTATGTGAAGTCCCCCTATGTTCAACCATAACGACTGCTTCTAGGAAAAGGGATTCTAACGGAGATCCAATACGGAAGTTTTGTCACAGCAACTATCACAACTATGAATGGTTTGGGCTTGGAAGAAGTGACTACTGCTCAAGAGTTAGAAATGACAAAACCTCGAGGGACAGGAGGAATTGGAAGCCTCCAAGCAAAAAAGAGTTGAGGGATAACACTGAGTATATGAAATACTTGTTGGGCATCGAAGATGATGAGGAGRACATTGGCTTTGCTGAGGGTGACGGTGATGGTGTTGATGTTGTTGTTTCCCCAAGCAACACGACTGTGAACAGTGAACTAACTTTACCGACTCAGAATAGTACTACTACTKGTGGTGAGTTTACAACCACAGTGGTTGGACCATTAGAATCAGTGTAATAAATGAAATACTAGTTATATTACTCCTCYGTATCAGCAAACTCCTCCTAGTATTAGTGTACGTATCAGCAAACTCCTCCGTATCAGCAGTTCATTCGGTTGCTGCTCCCTTCCTACGTATCAGCGAACTCCTCCGTATGAGCAAACTCCTCCACTGTATGAGCAAACTCCTCTGTATCAGCAAACTCCTCCACCGTATCAGCAAACTCCTCCACCGTATCAGCAGCTCAATCGGTTGCTCCCTTCCTATTAGTGTACGTATCAGCAAACTCCTCCACCGTATCAGCAAACTCCTCCACCGTATCAGCAGCTCATTCGGTTGCTCCCTTCCTATTAGTGTACGTATCAGCAAACTCCTCCGTATCGGCAAACTCCTCCACCGTATCAGCAAACTTCTTAAATATGAATAGTAAACTCATTCAGTTGTTGCTTATTCGGTTGCTGGTTCTCACGATCCTCCCCCTCCTGCTCCTTGGTATGATTCATCTCCTTGTAGTCAGCTGAATCAAAGGATAAGCTTCTTCCATCATACATAGGGTGTCCCCACTCATCAAAGCAAAATTCTTTTGCACACTGAATACAGGGAGTTTCATTCTTTTCCCTCTTCATGACTGTCCTGTAGATCTCAAAGAACCATTCATGCTTATCGCCAACACTCATTGTCGGAGGCAACAGTGGCTTCGCGAATCTAGCAAGCTCTATTGCCTTTGCAAGATCTTTCTTCTTCAAGCATGTCTTCTTTAAACAGCCAGCACAGGTCTCATTCAGCTCTTTGTTGTATGGTGTTGGCTT